ATGATTCCAAAAGTACCCCCGTGTACCTCAATGTTTATGACTTGACTCCAATTAACGGTTATGTTTATTGGGCTGGCTTAGGCATATTTCACTCTGGTGTCGAAGGTATTATTTATCATGCATTTTATTGTGCAATTTTTTTAAGCTCTAAAATTTTCGAGGATTTTAAGTTTGTTTTAATCAAATGCTAAAAAAACTTAGGTGTTGGTACTTTTCCATAATAAAATACTTGTACCATAATATTATCGGTACATTCACAGTACATGGCGCAGAGTATGCATTTGGAGCTCACGAATACTCGTCTAGCGGCATTTTCGAAGTCGAGCCGCGCCACTGCCCGGGATTTAAGTTCCGAAAGTCCATATTCATTGGCACCACAAAATTAAATGCGGCCCAAGTTAGGAAGTTTATGGAGCGGCAAGCAGCAGATTACAATGGTGATACTTACCATTTAATTGCAAAGAATTGCAATCATTTTTGCAAGGATGTGTGTTTCAAGCTGACTGGAAAAAAGATACCGAAATGGGTAAATCGGCTGGCCAAAATGGGTAAGTTTTTCTCTTGCATTTTAACTTCAAGAAGATATCATCAGTGTTGTTTAAGTTGTTTCTGGAAAATAAAAAATGGGAAATGGAAAAAAAAAACAGCTAGCTTTGGAAAATTACAAAAATTACAAATGTGAACTCGAGTGATTTTTGTAGTTCTTCGGAGTTAGCTGGCTTTTTTTCCTAATACAGCAATAGATAGTTTTCACAATTGTTTCGAAAAGATGGCCTAGAAGTGAGTAACATTGATACAACAATGCCATCACAAAAAAAATCTAAATCTAAATATATTTTTTTTTTGGCAAAATTGCATATTAATGCACGACCTTTCATGTTTTTGCAATTTAATCACCACCTTTGCAATTTAGCAAGTTAATACACCACTTTGACTATTTTTTGCAATTCGAATCACAGGGCCCAATTTCAGCTTTTTGTGCTGACATGACATTTTATGGCTGACGTGGCGTTCCACGTGCCAATGACATGGCTTTTTTTGCTGACAGGGCGTCCTGCTTGTTAATTGAAATAAAAAAAAAATTGTTGGTCAAGAGATTTGAACCTTAGACATTAAGCTTCCATTGTAGCTCTACAACCACCACACCAATATAATTTAGTTGGTGATTCTAATAACCATTTATATATATATATATATCAAATTAAATTAAATGATAATGCAAATTATATTAAATTAAAATAATAAATATAAATTAAAATAAGTTAAATTATAAAAAATAAAAAAAATTAAAATAATAAAATAAATTAAGATAAAATGTATTGTAGTAAAATGATTAAACTTAATTAAATTAAATTTATATATATATATTATTTGTTAAATATAATTGATTATATAAATTTTGAAGTGAAAAATAATAATGTAAACTTAAATTAAAAATAAACTAAACCAAAGTACACCATTAATATAATAAAAATAATATAATACAAAAAAAGGTAAAGTAAAATAAAATAAAAATAATAAATATAAGAGCTTATTATGAAACATTAAACTAAAATCAATAAAAATTTAAATGAATATAATGAAATATGAAATATTATTATCAAATATTATTAATATGTTTTACTCTAGCATAAAATATGAATTAAAGTTATATATTTTAATTATCTTGTTTATTTTAATTTATTTTATTTTCGTTTAATTTTTATAATTTATTTATTATAAATTTATATTTTATTAATTAATTTAATAATTTACATTATCTTTTAAATTTGATTTAATTTATTCATATGTAATGTCTATATATATAAAACGCTGTCAAATTTATCACCTAACTTGGATTGGTGTGGTGGTGGAAGAGTGACCATGCAACTCTCACATCCCAGGTTCGAATCCCATGACCAACATAATTTTTTTTATAATGAATTTACACATGGAATCATGTCAGCGCAAAACACCATGTCATTGATATACTGAATGCCATGTCAATGCCACGTCAGCCGTAAAATGCCATGTCAGCACAAAAAGCCCGAAATTGGGCCCTGTGATTCGAATTGCAAAAAATAGTCAAAGTGGTGTATTAAATTGCTAAATTACAAAGGTGGTGATTAAATTGGAGAAAATTGAAATTTTAGTCCAGTAACTTAGGTTGTTTCCCATTTTAGTCCATTAACTTAGGCCGATCCAAATTTAGTCCAAAAACTTTCAAAAGTTAGTTAAATCAGTCCAAATGGACTAAAATTTGACTGAAATTGACCAATCAATTTCGGCGACAGGGACCGAAATTGGACTGATTTAACTAACTTTTGGGAGTTTTTGGACCAAATTTAGATCGGCCTAATTTAGTGGACTAAAATGGGAAACAACCTAAGCTACTGGACTAAAATTGCAATTTTCTCGATTAAATTGCAAAAACATGAAAGGTGGTGTATTAATATGCAATTTTGCCTTTTTTTTTTTTAACCCAATTTTATGTTTTTTTTATCCATATAGGGTCGATGTTCAACTGTGTCCTACCGGAAACTCTTAAGATTAATGCTGTCCAAGTCCAACACAACCTTAAAGATCGGTGTTATAAGGATAGTGAGAAAAGGAGACTTAGTAGTAGTAGTTGTAGTTTCAGTTGTCTTTCATCAATATCTTCAAGGCAAAAACACATGTCGACATCTTCACTGTTGCTACAGTCCCCTTTAAAAGGGTGCCTATTCCCTTGGGAATTAAAGAGGTGTCCATAAATGGTTCCTTTAAAGGAAATGTAAAAGCATGAATTTGAAAATGTCGGTTTGATTATATTCAGAACGGCTGGCCCTCATCGTTTTCCATTATTTTGTCGGTTTTATCTATGGTTCGTTCAAAATGAGCCAATGGATATCAGCTCTCGGAGGTGATAATGTGATGATCGTGAATCGTGATGCAAAAAAACAATTTTTTTTTTTTTTTTTCGCAATCTCCCTTGATATAGGTGTATGTATTCTTCTTGTGCTAGTGCCAGATGATGTATAAATTGACTAGCTAGTTTTATACTTAGAAAATGCATCACCAAGTTTGTGATTTGTGTGTTGCTATATTTATTGTGTGTGGAATTGTGTTCTTGTTTGTGCAAAGCATCATAAGGGTATGTATATTTTCATCATTTCATGTACAATACTGTCAATATAGTATATGATAATATGAATAGAACCAAATTAAGAAACAGACTTAAATAAAACAAACAAACAATAACTAAATAAACAAGAAGAACAGCTCAATTCAAAGCCTCAAACATTTAACCCCATTTGTTAAGAAACTTGATGCTGATAAGCTCTGAATTATTAATGTTTGAAAGAATCAAAAATTGATAAATAAATAATATGTAAAAAAGCAGGGACAAAGCCTAATTTTTAAGTCCTGGTATAAATACAGTACTTGAACAAAATGAAGGCTGCCAAGTCCACCACCATTAGATAAGCTTCTTCTTCTTCCAGTGTCTGTTTAAGCCAATCCCTCTAATTTGTCACAATTTATAAGCTAGCTATAGCTCTTAAACAATCCCACCCGAGCCCGACCAGTATTACGTGTACCCAGAACCTTAAACAGTTAGAAATCACATAGAAAACAAGAAAAACGTTTTCTTTTCTTCCTGCAAAATATCTAAAACCTGCTTTTCAATTTACTATTTAGGTTCCAACAAAAAAAAAAAGAATAATAGTGTGTATATGTACACTGGACATACATGGCGAACTGGGACTACCTTTCACATAACAAACCTGCACGAACACCAAAGAGATCGTTCAGATTAAACAACCATGTGTTTTTTTTTTTTTTTTTTTTTTTTTTTGGTTCTACCGAAATTTTTTGAACCCATGCAAGACAAACAATATATGAAGGGCTCTCTTGAACCGGAAACTAACAAACAAACTCCGAATATAAAATAAAGACAGTTTATTAGATAGCCACCCACACGTGTATGTATGTATATATAGTAGTTACAAAAGTTTTGACATATAGCTGAATGTAAATCTTCAATGCCGGGTGTAAAATCACCCCAATAATGTTTCTTCCTATTTAAAAGTGTTTATTATAACATATCATCCAAGACTTGAGAGACAGCCAGGCCATGAAATAATCATTCGGCTTTCTGATGCAAAACAGTAGGCATTCTAATATTACCATTAAGAGCAGCATGATAAACCCGTTTTTCAGCCAATCCAATATCCGAGAGAATCAAGTTGCCCTGCATCACAAGAATAATAGCAACTGAGAAGATCAAGCATAGTTGGGTTGTTTCAAATTTCCATTAGCTTTTTGATTTATTAATCCATTAGGTAACTGCCTATATTACATAATTAATAATGTAGTTAATAAAAAAAAAGCTCACTGCAGGTTGATGTTTAGGCAAATAGTGAAATTCAAGTGATGGTATATGGAGATTTTTTTATTTTTTTTCTTTTCTGTTCTTAACCAGGATTCGAGGAGGAAGCGAAGGCTTAAGTTCTCCTGGAGTTATGAAATGAAAAAAAAAAAAAAAAAAAAAAAATTACCATTTTCCAAGAAAACATTGCAGTAAGCTATAAAGATAACATATTGACACATTGTATGAAAACATACTGTAAGAACACCAGGAAGACTAGCAAATTGGATTACATGAATTCTTTTTTTGGTCATAATTCGACACTAAACAAATTTACCTCACGAGCCATCAGGTTTCGAACATTTTCGGCATATAGCCTAGGGTCTTGCATTTCTTGTTCTGAGGGATGATACACAGGTAATCGTGTCACTTCAATGTAATTTACAAACTGACTGAGAAGAAGAACCACATGACGGGCCTGTAAAAAGAAGTTGTATATCTCAATCTCAGGTCACTGCTAAGCTAAAAAGTAGTCAAATTTTTAATTGAATATAAAAACATGTAAGTGTTCCTCAATTATTTTCAACAGATTCACAAATTATGTCATTATTTTCACCATTAGATCAGCTAAAAACATTAACATGCAGAAATAATTGGTTTCTTTTTACAAAAAAAATGTTAAAATTAAAATACCGACACAAATATAACTGACCCCTGATATGGTGTCCCATGCGGGACTAAATCTGTGGTAAGGATATCTTAATATAACAGGAAGAACTGGAGCTTTTGACAGAAATGCACCACTCTTGAATGGAAGAAGATAGTCTCCGTTGGTGGTTGTACCTTCTGTTGAGAGGACCAAAATAGGAGATCATCCAAGGGTAGAAAAGTACTTCTATCCATCGGTCAATAGAATTCATGGCATAACATGCATAAAGCAAACTGATTTCGCTGATATTTGATTAGTTTTCATGTACAGTACAAAAAAGGTGAACTGTTATATCAATGTACGATTATTAAGTTGTATAAAATCTTTTGAAAGGATATCCACGATGATAAGCATATTAAACAGATAACATAATTCACATTTAAACTGTTATTATTCATGATCGGAGATCAAACCTTGTTTTCTTTTTTACCTTTTACTATGAAAACGTAAAATAAATGAGATAGAACCCAATAATTGCAGAATATTGTTAGAATTTATCATATGCAACAAATGCCTAATTTGAATTTGGATTTCATTTCACATGATGTGGTCAAATCGAGCAGTTGGAGCGTTGGATTTTGTTCCAGAAATTATATTGTCATCTGGGCCACATCAAGTAACTTTCAATTGGCAATAAACCAAAAATATTCTCCTTCCATGGTGATCCATACATTAAAAAATGCAAAATCAATCTTTTATTTATATTATTGTTATTTACTTTTTTTATTTTTTCTGGGTGGGGTAGATTGTTTTTCCCCTTCAAACACTTAACAAGTAGACTGATAGGCAGCCAGTTCAATTTAAGTGCATCTCGCTTTGAGGAAAAGAAATGAAGTTGACAACAGTAGTGACAACAACACCTGGGAAAAGCATCATTTTTGGAGCAGACTTATCTTGATGAGCTTCTCGAATTCTTTCATTGACAACACCTGTAAACATCAATGGTCACAAAATAGACTGCCAAGATTCTTAACATTGTAGACAAAAAAAAAAAGCGAAATAATACTTGCCCAGTGCTCCCTTTATTCTCATTGTTTACAAGCTAAGGCAATATATAATTACAGGGTTTCGAGGCCACAAAACGGTAAGAGAATAGCGCACATAACAATTTGTAATTTTGTTTATCAAGGTTCTGTTAATGATGGTTCCAGACATGTTTTGGTATCCATAACACGAAAATAAAAAAAAAAAAAAAAAAAAAAAAAAAAAAAAAAAAAAAAAAAAAGATAAAACAAAAATCCAATTATATAAAACTGAGTTTTATTTTCTTTTATTTATCTTCAATTTCTCAAGAACGAATTTTCACCTACAAGGCCAAACCATTCTAACATCCATGATCCATCGCCCCTACTTTGGTTAAATCATTATATTAGTGGAGCTGCTAAAATATTAAACATTGTAACAAAAATACCTGAAACACCCTTGAAGTCTGATGATTTTGACTCTCGCTGTACATAGATACAACCAAGACATTTACTGTAAATGAAACAAATAACAGCTTAGGTCCCTTTAAGAAGACAAATACTTGAGAAATGTAATGTGTATTAAATAAAACAGGTACATATATTGAAGTGAATGTTAGTAACCACAGGCATGACACGTCCAATCTATCAATATCCATAAAAGTGAGACAGCAAAGAGAAACCGATATATACGCTGCCATTCATACTTGATTGGGAAAATTATTATCTATGCTCATAATGAGGAAGGAACAATTATCAGTACACTAATTAGCTTTGAAATATGGG